CCCCCCCCCCCCCCTCCAGGAGGCCCCGTTTGTAACATCCAAAAAATTCTTGAAAAATTAAAACTTCTAAAATCAATCCACAAATCATCATTGTTTACAATTTAGTTTTCAAAACATGTTTAATATCAGAGTTTTCCCCAAAATCATAAATCCAAAACACAAGTAGGTGCACGATCATGCATTCGCCTTCCCGCGATCATTTGAGGTACCTGAAACATAACCCAAAACTGTAAGCCCAAAGCTTAATGAGTTTCCCCCACGGTACCAACACACAAACTAATAACACATATACAATAACAACATACTATGGTTCCAATCAACCATCGGGTTGGAATACCCCAGGCCCATCAACCATTGGGTTGGAATGCCAACATACTATGGGTCCAATCAACCATCGGGTTGGAATGCCAACATAATATGGGTCCAATCATCTTCGGGATGGAATACCCTCAGGCCCATTCAACCATCGGGTTGGAATGCCCCGGCCTGTTGGCTTACGTACAAAGCAGTGAAGCCTCAGCCACCGACCAAACATGTGCACATATAACAGATAATCATATAACAGTCTACAACCAGTCAAACAGATCTAACAGATCACCAAAGCATAACATCATCCTATATACCAAGATACCGATCTAACATATCACTAAAGCATAGCATCATCCTATATACCAAGATATCGATCTAACAGATCACTACAATACGATAACATGCATAATCGGATATCAATACAATTAGCCGGCATCGGTTCCTTCGACCCGCAAGAACCGTGAGGAAAACTCACCTCACAAACTGAACAGAACTGATGAGGCCCGACTCTGAATCTCATCTCTCTAAACGATACCTATTTCCACCAAATGACCAATTCCATTAAAATCCCAAAATACCCAAAACGTCCTCAAGGTCAAACTTGGTCAAAGTCAACTGGTCAAACCCACTAAGTCAACTGAGTCAACCCAGCCGAGTCAACTCAACAAGGCTAACCCATGCGAGTGTGACAACCATCAAATTTCGGTCAAGTCAAAGTCAAACAAAGTCAACTAGTCAAACCGGTCAACT